CTAATCTAGGCTATAAAAGTTTTGTTTTCTCAGGACACTTGGACTAAGTATATATTCAGCTAGTACTTATTGAGGGTCTAATATGTACCTGCTACTTCTGCAGGAAGCTAGTGAGTCCTGTGCTAGTCTCCCTCTTGGCTAAGGAGAAAATTCATGCTTAGAGAGAGGGGAGGGGTCCTGTTTAAGACAGACAACAACAGATGGCAGAGAGGCCAGGATTCAAAACCAATTCTTTGATTCCAGAGTCAGTTTTCTTCCATGACTGCAAGGAACACAATATTTTTCATAGCGCATGATTCGCTTGTTAAATAGAGGCAAAATGTTTTATATCAGTTAAAACAATGGAGCATCACTGAGAATACCATTTTTTTAAGATTTTATTTATTTATTTGAGAGAGAGAGAGAGATCACGAGAAGGGTGGAGGGGAAGAGGGAGAAGCAGACTCCCCACTGAGCAGGGAGCCCAATGCAGGACTCGATCCTAGGACCTTGGAATCATGACCTGAGCCGAAGGCAGATGCTTAACTGACTGAGCCAACCAGGTGCCCAATCATTTCTGATTTTAGAAAAGGAGTCAACTTTGTATTATAAGGTCAGGGGAAGGCCTTTGCATTTTTGTTCTCATCTCAGCAGAGAATTAGAATTAGTGATTGTGGTTATCACAGATGTCATTGCACTCAAGTGGAAAACAGTGTAAAAGGCTAAAAAAATATTTATTGGCAAACTGCTAATAAGCTTTTGTGAGTAAGAAGAAAGAAAAGATTTGGAAATAGCTTTAGAAGAAAATGCTTTTATTTAGACTAGCTGGAGGAAATTTCTCTGTGTTAATGACCAATATGTGGACTGACAGTCATTCTGTGCTCTGCCAAGGAAAGTCTTCATAAGGAACAAGGAAGGTTAAGCAGAGACCAATGGGCAGCTCAGTCCCCATACCCTCACCTCTATCACAAATACCTCAGCTACCTAGCATGTACATGGATCTCCAGATCTACTCCAAATGGTGGGTTATTAGCTCTGTTTAATGATTTCTAGGCTGAGTCAGTTCTAGTTCTTTATCATTTTGAAATGGAAGTCCCAGGAAGTTCTTCACTGTGTCTAACTTATCCTGAATGTGGTTTATAAATGGTGTGACTAGTGCTCTCCAGCTCAATAAAGCCTTTTCATGCTGCATTGCTGTACAGAAGAATTTAATTTGATTTCAAATCAAAACTGTGCTTTCTAGGTAGGTGTCCTTGGGAAAATTACTTACCTTCTCTGAGAATCAAGATTCAGAAAAAAGGATGCCTATTTTACATGACTATTTTGAAATGAAATTATAGAAGATAGATGGATGAGGAGAGAGAGGGAATGAGAACACACCAGGTAGCTGATAAGCACTTGATAAATGTTAGTTTCTTTTCCCTTCCCTTGAAGGAATATCCATGAATTTGAACTATTTTTATTCCAACAAGTTGCACATTTTGAATGTAATCTCTTTAATGACGAGCTCCCTTCTTCAAATCATAGAATCCTAACCCTGTCAATGTTTTCCTGATAGAATGCTGTCCCAGCTCTTTGTTAACTCTGGACGTCCTTTCCTTTGCCCATTCCACATGTCTGATATAACAGGCAGAATTTAAAACTGATCACAGTCTTTTGGAGAATGTGACCAGCAAGTTTTGTGGAATAGTTTTTCTAAACTATGGCACTTTCCAGAAAGAGGAAATAAGCAGGGGTGGTATGGAGGGTTCAATCACAAGGCCATACACACCTGCACTGCAGGTGATGACTGATGAACATTCTTAAGTGCAACTGGAGAATGTTCACAGGCTGGGGAGACTATTTCCTCTTGTGTTTACATAGTGTCTTTGTCTTAAACTTTCTGAGAGACATATACCTATATTCTTCCCTTTGGAGTTGAGGATAAGCCGCTCTGTAGAAAAGGCTTACACTATTCTTTAATGTGTTTAATGAGCATTTAAGTATAATCTTGGTAATTAGAATACATATATATGTGTGTGTGTGTATATAGATATATATAGATATATATATATAGATATATTCACTCAGCAATGAAGCAAACTCAATGATTTGAATTGCTTCCACAAATGATTATTACCTGTGTATATAGGAATATGCCTCTCCAAAGTACAGTGACGACACCGATCCCTGACTGTTTTAACGAATCCTTATTTAATATAAATGCAGAACTCTCCTGCCTGATAAATTAAGTATATGTTATGTATAAGAACAACAGCAATGAACATTATACTATACTATAACAAACACATATAATGCCAGTACATTATAAAAAATAATATATATAACTTTCATTCTTAAGAAAAACTTTGTAAGGGGCACCTGGATGGCTCAGTTGGTTAAGCGACTGCCGTTGGCTCAGGTCATGATCCTGGAGTCCCGGGATCGAGTCCCGCATCGGGCTCCCTGCTCCACAGGGAGCCTGCTTCTCCCTCTGACCCTCCTACCTCTCATGCTCTCTGTCTCTCATTCTTTCTCTCTCAAATAAATAAATAAAATCTTTAAAAAAAAAAAAAGAAAGAAAAACTTTGTAAGGAAATACTAAGTATATACCTTTTACAAATGAGGAAATTAAGGCATATAAAACAAACATGTATGTTTGTATAAAAACATACATAATTGTATGTTTCATACAAAAAAACAAACAACTTGTTGTCACACAGCTAGTAAGTTCCTGAGTCCAGACTTAAACTCAGGGAGTCTGACTATGATCCAGAATCTAGACCAACTTAAATATTACTACAGAACCAAATTCTGTGACTTACCGATTGAGAACTTCTTATGCCTTTTTTGTTTTTTTATGGACTAGAACAAATGTTACAAAGAAGACACGGTCCTATTGAGAAAAAAGCTGCTTAATTCTCCAGAGCTATTTAGCTATTATTCATATTTAGCCTACCATTCCTATCTCTCTGTTTTTGTTTACTAGAGGAACCAAAGTGGTTTGATGTTCTTTACCATCACAAACAGAAGAGGAGGGCTACCAGGGGAAGGAACTGTCCTTTTGAGGGGGGCGGCGTGCAGTGCCCACGGAGAGGCCACATTCCTTTTGCTCACTTTCCTATGGGTCTGGGGACATGCAAGGGGTTTCCTTAGCTGAAGGCAAGAAAGGGCACTCCATGAAAACTATTTATAATATTTATGCTCTTCCATGAAGTAAAGACTAACATCTCTCTCCAGGGTGGATCTTTATTAAGCCATGGAGTTTGTTGCTTTGCCCTGTTGCTACCCAGGATGGAAAAGAACCATGGGGAGAGAAGACAAGAAGGTCAGCCAGGGAGAAAAGAGGTAAGGACTGTCCCTGGTAAGCTCTACCTGAGGGGGAGGAAAGATGGCTGCTGCTTGGCCTGCAAGCCTCAGGTTTGAAGCTGCTGAGGACAGATGAGAAATGGGGACTCCGGGCATGGGAGGGACTGCTACGGTTCAGGTAGTGGTGAGTATGTGGGAAGGTACAGTGTGCTATTGCTAGGTGTTCTGTTGAAGAAACAGCTGGTCTCCCAGGGTATCATTTGGCTGGAGGAGCTGTGGGAGTCTCCCAACACTGGTGCATGTTTGGTTATCCACCCATTCAGGCTACATCACCAGAGTTAACCAAGAGAAAGGGGACAGCCACAGTAGAATGGTGAGGAAGTGCCAATTCCTGTTTCCTTTTTTTTTTTTTTTGCCCCAATACTACCAGAGGAGAAATCTAAGAGAAAGGACCATCTAGAGGGGTGATAAGAGCGGACCATACCCCTGTCAACTCCAGAACACTCTGGTGGAACCCAAGTCCTAATTATGTTAGAAGGAGGGACAGAGGTCGGAATAAAATATAAAATTTTAAAATAGAAAGGACTAATAAATAATAAAGTTAGAGATTTAAATTGAAATGCCATTAAGGAAGCCTATGCGTCATTGAGAAATAGGGTTGAAACAAAATTGGTAACAGATATTGGAGAAGTAAAATGATTTAATTTTTATACATTAATCAATTAAATGTTCTCAATTCAACCAGCTATAATTATAAAACAAGTGGAGGGAAATATTAACCCCTTCCCCCCCAACCCCTCCAGCTTTTATCTGATTGGGGAATTCAGAAATACAAAATACTAAGTCCTCTGCATGTAAGCCTGCCCAGCCAATATCTCCATTCCTTTTTTTTAAAATTTTTTTATTGTTATGTTAACATTCTTTTTTTTTTAAAGATTTATTTATTTTAGACAGAGAGAACAAGCAAGAAAGAGTACGAGCAGGGGGAGGGGCAGAGGGAGAGGGAGAGGGAGAGAGAGAATCTCCAAAAGACTCCCCACTGAGTGCAGAGCCTGACACTGGGCTGGATCTCACAATCCAGAGACCATGACCTGAACCAAAATTAAGAGTTGGACCCATGACCTATTGAGCCACCCAGGCATCCCCAACATCTCCATTCTTATCTCTTGCCCCACTGCTTCACACACCCTAGGCCAATCTCTGAGTCACCTAATGGCCTTATGCCACCTCATGCTTACTCATGTGTTCATGTTTTTGCACATGCCCTTTCTTCTGCTCAGAGTACCCTTCCTTCCAGTGTCTGCCAGGCAATTATCCATAGGTGCTTCAGTTCTCAGCTTGACAGTTATGTCTTCTCTGAAACCATCCTGACCTGCTTCCCCCTCATTCTTTGATGCCCATTCTCAGCCAGGTGTCCTTCCAGGATCTTCCATTAATCCCTTACATGCATCTCCTTTGTGATGCTTACACCGGATGCAAATATGTGTCTGTATTTCTGCCACTCCCAATAGACAATGAGCCCTCTGAAGGTAAAGAATAGATCTCATTTGACTTGTTAAATGAAGTACCTAGCACAGTACTTGGCACATAACATAAGCTTTATAGATTATTTGTTAAGAGAAGGAAGGAAGAAAGGAAAAAAGGGAAGGAAGGAAGGAAGGAAATTTCTGCATGCCCTAGTGATGAGGCTCCAGTTTAGTGTAAGAGAAGGCTCCATATTATTCTCATCTTACCCTTCCAGGGAGATGGCCCGTTGGAGGGTCACTGAAGGCTGGCGGGTTGCGGTGCTGTGTTGAGAATGACTGCAACAAGAGAAAGAAAAAACAAACACAGGTCATTTATTTAAAATGTCTTTGCACATTGTAATCAGTCCTATTGTCAAGAAAAGAACAAATCTTGAAAGAAATCCAATGGAGCTAAAATGTTCTTTGGTGATATGTAGAATCATCCACCAAAATCTGGTACTCTACCGGATAAGGGGGTAATATTTCCTTATAATTTGATTTCAGCATGTATTATTCAAAAGTAACCTTGAAATGACAGAAAGACATGAAAAGAAACAAAAATATTTGGAAGAGGTAATTTTCATAATTTCATTATGATGCAGTGTATTACTTTTTAAGTGAAGAACATTTTTATAACACATTTTTAAACAGTGGATTTGAAAATTGGAGAAGTATTTAATTAGTATAAGCTTTCATATTAGTTCACATTTGCAACACTCACTTGTGAAATTAATAACAATTCAGCTGTTGGATGAACACAAAAACTTGAAGAATGAGACCTCTGGTTGCATGCCAACCTTAGAATTTAATGTAAATCCATATTTTGTTTGTTGCATAAGACTGATTTTATAGATAAGCAGTTGCAATAAAAATTATAATGTTTATCGTTCATTTTGCACTCATATTGCCTGAATTCCTTTTCTATATTTATTTGTTTACTTCTCTCAATCCTATGAGGTACACCCTGTCCCATTAACAGGTGAAGGAACTAAGGTATGGAGAGGTTTAGAAACGTGTCCCAAGTCATGTAGTAAATACTTGTGCTTGAGATAGCATCCAAACTGTCTAATTCTAGAGACATTATTCTTAACCATCATGTTATATCATCTCCCAAATGGTGACAATTTCTCAGATCTGTAAGAATGTGTTTTGCAATCTCAGAATACTCTTCAATTAGAGATAGAGGTTCATCTGAGATATGTACAATAACAATCCAGCAGCAAAAAGTAATGCTTTGTAGATTTCCTATGTGTTAAAATGTATGATAAAATGTATTTCAGTGTGTAATTTTAGTTTGTTGTATTGATGTAATATCTTAATTGTAATATTAGTTATAAACACACACACACACGTTATGAAGGTGTATATACACAAATATATGAATAAAGAGAAACCTGAGTCAGATGTTTGCAGAACATTAGACACCTTCACACAATTCCATAACTTCTCAGCACATACTTCTGAAAACACTGACATTGTCACAGAGAGCCAAGCTGTAGGCTCCAGATTTTCATCCAGAAATTCAGTCATTATGGATGATAAGTGGTATCTCTCTGTGAATAGCATTTAGTTGTAACATGGATAACATTTATCTGAGGTTGAGGGAGAATTTGGGCATTGTAGCTAAAAACTAGAGAATGTTGTTGAAATTAAGGATTGTGCCCTATGTTTCCTGGCATCCTTCATAGTGTCGAGCATGATATATGTTCCCTGAACATGTTTTGACTGACAGTTGAAAAACAGCCTAGCATTCAGGAGCTGGACCATGTAGCCAGATGCTTGAGTTAAAATCCCAGCTCCACCAAATGGACCAATGTGACCTTGCTCAAGTGAACTACATCTCTCTGTGTGTCAGTTTCTCACCTGTGAGATCAGGATAGTAATAGTACCTTCCTCCTGGGATTTTTATAAGGATTCAGTGAATACAATGTTTAAAACGGTGTCTGTTACATGGTAAAAGCTACATAAGTATTTGTTAAATAAACTAATATGATTTAGCAGAATGTGTATTTTAACATAGCACTAAATAAGAATAATTACTTAGATCATTTCTTTTAGTTATATAGTCAGTGCCACAAGGTGTGTATTTGTGAGTATAATATAAATTTGGTGATCAGTATCAAATTAAAATATATTTTCTATTGTAAAAACATTATGAATTAATGAAAATCAAAATAAGAGAAAGTTAAAAAATCACATATAATTCCATTACCTTGGCTCAGATGTTACAGAATTATCTAATTTAATTATTGCAGCTGTCCTGTAGGTATGTATGAGTAGCCACATTTTATATATAAAAAAAAAAACACACAAAACTTAAACGACTTATCAGAAATCAATAGCTTGCAAATATGGAGCCAGAATTCAAACTAAAGCCTATCTTGTTGCCAAGTGTGTGTATTTCCATGCTATGTTATTGACTCTCTATATGTCCACATCTGCTTCATATAGTTTTATATATACACAGACCATATATAGCTTTATATCCTGCATTTGCTTATTATATTATAATTTAAGCATTTCTTATAGGGTCTCCATAATTATTATTTTCATGTTATATAATGTTATTTCCTCTGAATATATATTTATTCTTTTGTGGTTAGATATTTGGGTTATTTCTACTGTTTTAATATTATAAACAATGCTGCATGAATATATTGTTATAAATTACTTTTTCTTATTTGACAATTTCCTTTGACTATATTCCCCAAATGGAAACATTCACTAGGTTCTTGATTTATGTTATTAATTACTTTTCAAAAGCTTTGTATCATTTTATTGCCTCCAATATATATATTATAATATATATTCCATTAATATCTTTTTAAATAATATAAAATATATATATGCCAGTTTCACCACAATCTTATAGTCACTAACATTATAATTTAAAAAATTGATAATAGGTACAAAACGATAATTCAGATTTATGAGTATTTCTTCTTTTTACTAAAATGACCATTTTTTTCTATATGCTTACTTGTTAATTGTGTTTCTTTTGTTTAAACTGTTTAATCCTTTCCTTTGCCATATATATTACACTGGTTTAGAAAGTACCAACAGTCCTTTTGCGTAAAGATCAATGATGCCTGCTAACCAAGATGAATGAGTAACTGGAATTCCTGCTAGCTTCCTCACCATTAGCTTAGCCCATATAATTAAAACAAAGAAAAATTCAGCAATCTCTCTTTACTTATCACTACCTTAAACTAATTACTATTATTCTACTCTAAATTATTCCAGTAAAGTCCCTGTTAAAGTTTTACTGACACTTAAATTAAATGTGGAAGATACCTTGAAGTGCTCACAGAATTTGACTCCTCATATATTACACAAGCAAAGTCAGCCAGTTTCTCCGAATGTGTAAATTTTGAACAACCAGAGCCTTTCACAACATGTAATTACCCTTTTACTTTACTAAGACAAATACAGTGAATTATTTGATAAGTCAAGACCTACAGACACAAGGGAATTTTTGTTTTTCCCTGATAGCAATGTGTAAGCAGGACTTGAATGGGAAACACTTGTAGTAGGTATTAGGAGCTACCAGATGGTGATAATAACTGGTATTTTTTTTTTAAAGATTTTTATTTATTTATTTGTCAGAGAGAGAGAGAGCACAAGCATGGGGAGCAGCAGAGGGAGAGGGAGAAACAGGCTCCTCACTGAGCAAGGAGCCCGATGTGGGACTCGATCCCAGGACCCTGGGATCGTGACCTGAGCCAAAGGCAGACGCTTAATGACTGAGCCACCCAGGCGTCCCAATAACTGGTATTTTTTAAAAACACCTAACATCTTTCCCCTGGAACCAAGCCGGTTCTGTGCATTCTGTATTACTGACTGTGTAGACAGTGTGTTGCTAGTTCTACCATGACTGACAAATTACAAGGAACCCGTGCCTGGCCCTTTCAGCTCCTCAGGCAGAGACAAGCCAGATGGAATTCTGAGAACTGCAGGAAGCAGCATGGGCGGAAGGCACAGCTAAAACTTCAAGCTTTTAATATTGGAGAGCTAAGTGCTCAGAATATCTTTGTCTTAAAAAAAACCCCAATCTTATCAACAAATGGCCATCATTCTCCTTCTATCATTTTTCTAGACACTGTTAGAGTCTATTCTGTGAAGCAGTATATGATATACCTCCCTCATCACCCCAGTGCAGTTGACACGGTGTTCGGTGCACCATCCCATCTTTTCCACACATCCCAAATAGCACCAGAATTGAGAATCACCACCATTTATTTACACGCCTATTTTTTTTCCCTGCTAAGTCATGCATGTTTTCAGAGCAAGGAGTGAGGCTTATCCATGTGCACATTCTCAGCTCAGCGCTGATCCACAGAATATGCTTCATAAATGCCTTTCTGAATGATGAAGACCATGGGCTGAGTTCCATCTATCTGTAAGGCTCCACGCCCTGTCTCTTTCAAACTTTGTAACAACGCTGAGAGCTAGTCATTATGCCCACTTTTGAAGGAAATTAAAGACCAAGGTCTCACAGCTAGTAGGTAGCAAGAGTAGAACCCATATTTGCTGGTTCTAAAGTACTTGTTCCTCTGAGACAAATCATGTTGCCTTACAGAAAGGTGAAAGCAAAGCTCTGTGATTAGTTCAGAGAGAGGATCCCACACATATTGTTAGGAAATGCTGAATTTCACTGACAGTTTTGTTTTGTTTTGCATAAAATAGCACCCATTACTTTCACCGTATCTGTCCAACTTGCATGTGAGTGGCTTTTGAAGATCATTTTTTTTTATGAAGATAATTTAAAAGAGTATGGATATTAAAGAGGGCATGTATTGCATGGAGCACTGGGTGTTATACACAAACAATGAATCATGGAACACTACATCAAAAACTAATGATGTACTGTATGGTGATTAACATAACAATAAAAAAATAAAAAAAAAGAGGGACTTCTCTGTCCTATCCACACCACCTTATTAATGAGCCCTGGATATCTATAAGCATTTGAGTGACAGTGAATGGTGGGTGAGTAGGATGAAAAGGCTCAGCAGCATGTCACAGCACTGACAATGGGGACGAAGTCCTGTCCTGTGGTAGAAACCTGTGGTGCCACTCTGTACTTAGGCAGCTTGGCTGAAGTGGCAAATCAGGCAACTGTGGAGATAAATCTTACCAAGACTTTTTAAGATTTAGAGAGAGGTAACAGCCTTATTGCCTTTCTAAAAATCATGCCATCATTGAATAAAACTGAGCCAGAGAACAGTAGAATCTCTTTTCCAGGAACTCTGATTTTCCAAGGAAAAGACTGGTTATTGCCTAAGAAAATGACATTT